TTTTTTTTTTGTACATTAAATTTTATTTATTTTATTTGAGGGTCAACATCACGTTATGTATTACGTATTATTAGTTTTATTTGTCTAGGCTTTATTAAACAATAACAAACTAAATTTGTACAGGTAATTTACAAACTTAAAAACTATACTATACAGTGTGAGTCACGTTAAAGTGTACATATGAAAATAGATGAAATAAGACCTATTTTTATCGACAAAAAAGAGGTCAAAAATTTTTTGAGATTTTTTTTAAATTTTTTATAGATTTTTTTTTCTTCCAATTACTTATTGTAAAGAAAACGTAATAACTTTTAAACTAAGCGGTATATCCTGATAAAATAAAAACTGTAATAATGCTAAATAACAGGCAATACTAAAAAAATACATAAAATACACAAAAAAGGCCAACAAATAATAAAAAAAGATAGTTTTTGAAAAAAATCTGCTTTTAAATTCGTGTTTTTTTGGTTATTTGATAATTTTTTCCAAAAATGCCCCTATAACCGGTTGTTTTTATTACTTTGTATTATTTTCTATCGTATTACCTTTNGTCGGTTGAAAAGAAAGTTTATGTTATGGGCTTATGGGTAGATTCAGTTTAGTAAAGTTTTTAAAACCGCCTCTGTGGTCTAGTGGAAAGACCACCTGCTTCAGACACAGAGGTCCCGGGTTCGATTCCCAGTGGGGGAAGATTTTTCTGTTCGGTTTGGTTGGTGGTAGGGCTTGTTCTGAGTCCGCCTGGCTAGCTACCACCATCTTACCTAAGTCTGTCGCCATAACAACAATGTCAACAGCATTGTTGTGTTCCGGCAGTTAGAGGTAAGATAGCCAGTTCCTCCGTGGTTGAGGATTCCGGGTGAAGCTCGCTTCCACCTTCGGCCTGATCATCACTTACCATCAGGTGAGATACAGGCCAAGAGCTTCCGCGTTGTGGATAAAAAAAAAACGACAAATGTTCGCTTTTATGGTTCAGTGGCAGTGGTTAGTAGAGAGTCAGACTCACTCCCAGAAGCATGGTATAGTAATGAGTATTGCCAGAAGGTTGGCTTGGACAATTTGACGGGTTTGATGAAAAAATAACCATCGTTACGGGAAGATGGGTAGATAAATCAGCAGAACGGTTGGCTCTATGGAGCTGTGTGTACCAATTTTCAGCTGTATGCGAATTATTGCAGGGTTCATGTCTAATTTGACTGGACTAATTGAAAAATGGCCACACTTCAACGGACTTTAAAGCTGAAAATAAGAAAGTTCCCCGGGGACAAAGTTGACCTTCACTGGTTGGGTTTTTATTGGCGGTCAAGCTGTAGATCCTGGCTACACAGAAGTTGCAGCAGTGGGAACGAGAGGTGGGAATAGTCCCGTAATAACATAGTTTATGATATGGGTGCTATGTGGAAACGGGTTTCAAAGTTTGCTACTTTTAAAAAGTGACAAAATGTTCGCTTTTGTGGTCCAATGGTAAAAGAGTCAGACTTATCCTTATTATTCCAGATGGCTGACTCTAAGATAAGATTAGATCAGATCTGTGGAACGGTTGGTTTGTTCTAGACACCCTAGGTTGCACCATCTTATATATTTTTTACCCGACTACGGCAAAGCAAAAGGAGGGTTATGATTTTAACAGGCTATGTATTTATGTATGTATGTATGTATGTTCATGTGTTCCCTCGTAACTTCTAAACTACTTATCAGAATTCGACAAATGACATATCATTAGAAGCGTCTTAATTGTCCGCTGGTTATAGGCTATATGGGGTTTCACAAAATCTAATGTGGCGCCCTCTAGCGGACAAAACATACAGAGTAAAAAAATTAAGTTAAGATAAATATGCCGTGTTTGGTATCGTTTGAAAGCGCTTTACTTGTACATTTCGAATATATATATATATTACTAGCATTTGCTTGTGACTTTACCTGTATTCATGGGCTGATTGCATATAATTCACATCTTTTCGTTCATAGCTTCTTTAGTACTTATTAGTTCATCAATTTAACTTTTGTTAATATTATGCGCCACAAATACACTTTAACACCAAAATAGTACAAATAATAAAAAGTAAAAAAACTAAAACCCAACTACGACAAAAAACGACGCTGAAAAAGTATAGAACAAGATTTTCAGAATACTGAACTGAACAAAGTTGCCAATGTAGTTGCATAGTAATTTTCATGTTTGGAAAGGCGTAGTCACACGTTACATATACCTACCTACCGTAGTACTTTGACAACGTGTGACTGCGGTTTTCCAAACATGAAAATTACTATGCAACTACATTGGCAACTTTGTTCAGTTCAGTATTCTGAAAATCTTGTTTTATACTTTTTCAGCGTCGTTTTTTGTCGTAGTTGGGTTTTAGTTTTTTTACTTTTTATTATTTAAGATTATAAGCAACATTACTGAGTTGCATCACCTTAGCTTTAATCGTAACTATAAATGATTTTTTTGTATGGAGTTTGGCAGAATTTTGACGTTTGTTATGGTTAAAGTAAGATGGCAACGAGTAGTTATGCTTAAAGTTAAGGTGGATTTTATTAAAGTTTTCAAGTTATGGCGTATTGGAAATAGAGCCTATCTATACTAATATTATAAATGCGAAAGTAACTCTGTCTGTCTGTCTGTCTCGCTTTCACGCCTAAACCACAGAACCGATTTTGATGAAATTTGGCATAGAGATAGTTTGAGTCCCCGGAAAGGACATAGGATAGTTTTTAGGACGGTTTTTGAAACAGGGACGCGCGCGATAAAGTTTTTCTGTGACAGACAAAATTCCACGCAGGCGAAGCCGCGGGCGGTAAGCTAGTATTCAATAATATTAGTAGCTCAGTAAGTTTACTGGGCTAATGATAAGAAAAACTGATTCGTTTTCTATTTATATAACTTTACATGATTAAGTAGGTATCTGTCTAGATGTACCTTAATCGTGTCTGTCTAATAAATAATCTTCTACGTAATGACCTTTTTCATAAATTTTGCAATTTATACATACATTTATAAATTTTAAAATTCTAGACATGGACATCAAATTCAACCAAGGGTAAACTGATATTAAATCTCTACATTCGCCGATTAAGGCACGCAGAGATGTGAAATGAAAGCATAAACAACTAAAAACTGCTTATTATGTTCAAGTACATAGTAGGGTAAGTGCGTTAGTTTTCGTCCAATTATCGGAGTTGCCAACTTTGTGATGCGAAATGAATATCTTAAAATACCCTTACTCATATGTATCATATGTCATTTTAGTCCTTATATAGTCTACTTTACGTTAATATTATATGACAATAAGTAAATACCACGGGTTTTTTTATAAAAAATATTTTATGCAAAAGAGGCGATTTCACTAGTTTTCGTCCAAAAAAATCAGTTTTCGTCCTAGTGTACGCTAGTTTTCGACCACTGTGTAGAAAAAAGGGTGCAGTTGTGTTATTAACTTAAAACCAATTCTACAACACAGTAACTATGGATTGTGATATATCATTTGAAAGGTAATTTTGTTAGCTTTCAAATGATATCAAAAATATTTAAATAAGTTTCTTACCTAAATTTAGGAAAATATTGCAATAGGTCGAAGGACAAATGGACGAAAACTAATCTACAGGAATAGCTAATTTTGGTTTTCGTCCACCCCAGTGCTTGCTCATGACGTCATGGACGAAAACACAACAACGTTTAAAGCTGTTTTTTGTTTTCGTCCACATCTTTTTAACGGTTTTTATGGGTTTATCACTGTTAAAAAGTGGACGTAAACTAAAATGTTTAATGTAATAGCAATAAAGATCATATTGGAAGAAAAAACATTGTATTTTGTAGGTCCATTGAAGTAAAATGATTATTAAAAATATTAACTAGGTGTCAGGGTTTCCGTCCACGTGGACGAAAACCAAAATCTTGCAAAATTGTTATGCTAGTATTAGTCCACCTAATTATCTAAGATTTCTATACAAAAACTTCAATAAACCCTTAAAATAGTGTTTATTATGCTAATAATTAGACATACGTGCCAAAAACATTACGTAAAGTAGCTAAAACAGTAAATAACCATACCATGAAAGTTCCCTACCGGCACGTTTTTTTTCTAACTTGACGAAGTTTTCCATTCACCTGTGTGCAGCAGCAACTTCCGTAGATTTTTTTGGAGTTATTACTTGACAAATTACATTTTCATGCAGGCAGAACTGTTACTTAGATATTATAGATTGTAACAAGTCCAAACTTGCACGGAAAGTTAGGTTTTTATTCTAATTTTCCGTATTTGTTTGTGGCAAGTCGGTCAAATGGACGAAAACAGGAGCTGGACGGAAAACCGGCGCAATTACCCTATCTTCCTGCACATAATTTAAGTAGGTACAATTAAATGCTGCTGAAACATTGTTAAACAAATAAAATAAAATCTCTTTGTACAATTTGTTAAGTTTTTATCATGTCTTGCACTTAAGTAAGGTAAACAAGTTCTGAAACAAAAAGAGAGATGTGTTTCTGTCATGGATTTATCATATCATTTTTTTCAATCAAATTCGGTGGCTTGGCATCGTAATATGAAAAAATTAATATTTATTCATGATTATTCAAATATTGTTTATTACCTAATAAATACGTTAATGGTACCTTATATTAAATAACAAATTAATTTATTAGGCTCTATCGTAGTTTAATTGTCACGGAATTCCAATTATTTTTTATTTATTTTAATGTGCATTAAAATTCTAAATTGACTATAATCGGACTCTTATGACACAATCATGTCAATCATGTTACAGAATAATGAACTACTTAAGTAATTTTACTCCTATTAGGTAAGTAGATAACGGGGTAATTCAAATTAATGATGTGATTTTCCGACAGGAAATTTTAATGATGAGGGGCGATAATTTATTCAACAGTGAAATGAACGATCAATATTACGAGTATATTACATTATAAACAAAATTCAGTTTACAATGCAACGAAAACTGTATCATCTGTAATTTAGGCTCAAGATATAATTTTTCGGACAAACCTTGCGTATTATCTTCACCCCCGTCGCTGTCTATCTCACTGCCCACACTGACAGGACTCTCCCTTTTCTGATCCTCCTTACTTTCCACCGGAGGCCCTGGAGCATTCAGCATCCTGGATATCCAAGGCTCAGGGTACCCCAGCAGAAACGGGAAGCTAACCCCATTCTGCTGCAGAAACGGCGCATTAAAATAATATCGCATTCGGTTTAGTTCTTCCAATCGTTCACTGTCCTCATCCTCAGAGTTCTGCTGCTCATTATTTTCAATGTCAATCTCAGGCGATTTTCTATCACTCCCTATCAACGATTCGATTGTAAAAGGTTTCGGAGTCTTTTTTTGAGTTTGGGTCTGAATTTCGGAATCCATTGTCACAACACTAAACCACAGATTATTAACTAAACTGTCAAATCTTTTTTTTATTTTCAAATCGAACACTAGCACTGGCACATAATAAACGTAATTTGAATTTGGAACGCGCGACGCGTGTTCTCCCGGGCCATCGTAGAGATGTACTCGTCCGAACCATATCGTTACCCGCCACGCCCCCAATTGGGTGTAGTCAAAGAGTAATTTTATTTTATTAATAGCTCCTTCTGGCCGCGCGAATGCAAACTTTATTGCGACGGCGTAATGCCACTGTCATTATCTAGCACTGCGACTTTGGAAGGTCTTACATTTGAATAAATAAAAGTCATTTTGAGCCTTCTTGCTCGAACTTACGAGTCCTTTTCAGAGAAAAAGCACTGTTTTTCAGTTTGGTCATACAACAATGAAATATCAATGTTATGTTTCTGCCCATAAAGTTCAAACTCCCCTGTCAGATATTCAAAATACAGCCTTCCAAATTCAAACAGATGATGATTAAGAGCACTTTTGGGTGACGCCCGAGTGAGACAGATGTGTTTTTGTGGGGGGTTGGAGAGGGACGCGTATAGCGATATTTGCGGATCCTACAGCAGTAATTGGTGGTGACAGGCCTGGCTCACTCCGCGCGGTACGTCCGATAATTACCTACAGCGAAGCGCCCCGCCGGCGGGTATTATATCAGTCGAGTGTCACGCGCGCAGCCGTCAGGACGCTGGCGTGCGTTGTAGTATGATGATTATAATTCTATGATCGAAGTATTATTTAAAAATGGACATAAAGAGAAAGAAATATTGTGCGGCGTTCGGGTGTTTAAATTCGAAAAGAAATCTACCGGATTTATCTTTTTTTTCGCTTCCCCAAATATGCTGAAAGGTATGTTGGCCATGTAGGTAATCAATAATTCTTAGGATAGTATAGGAACCTAACCTACCATGACTACTGTTCAGAATTCGTTCGTTCGTTTCAGCCAAATGACGTCCACTGCTGGACAAAGGCCTCTCCCAAGGTTTTCCATAATGAATGCATACATACCTACATACGTACCTCATTACAAATAAGTACATTAATTATTTTTTCACTAGACAGCAACCCTAACAGCGTAAGAAGAGTTCAGAGGCACGCGATAGAAAGAGACAAAACTTGTAGGTGAATAAAATTGTAGGTACGTAGTGCTGTGCGAGCTGAATTCCACTGTATCGCGTCGTAGCAAGACTCGCATTTATTTAAATCGTCTTGCGGAGTAATCCTTCTGTACCTGTACTATTACTTATTCTGTGGTGGTGATCACGATGCTTTGACGGTGTCAGCGGCTCTGAACAAATTCAACGGTTTGTGGAACGTTGTATAACAAACATTCAAGAGATTGTTCAAGAGATTCTTTTAACCGACTGAAAAAAGGGAGAGATTGGGCTGCGCTACCGCGTAATAAAGTATTGAGCTTTTTTTTTAATAAATAAGCTTGTGTTAAGCTTTATTTTTAGAGAACCTTATAAAAAGTAGACCTATATTAATTTGAGTCCAGGATACAAACTATTCAATTTTTTTATTTGCAATTTGTAGGGTAGAAAAAGAATTATAAAACTAGATACAATCACAGTTCGTATTATCGTAAAGAATGCAACTTATAAGATGTCAGGTAACTAAATAAAAATGTAATATCTAAAATATTAGATAAACAAATACCTAATTAGATATTTTAACTTCACATCACTAGCAATATTTAGGAACTCAATTTTTCTAATAGAGTCGTCAGATACAATTTGGCTACGACGGTTTCAAGTTTGTTTTTTACCTTTTTGAGTGAAAATAACATCAAATCAAGAATATTTTTATTGCTATAGCTAATTTGATTGTGCCGTCTCATACCAGTGTCGAAATAAAAACAGATAAACGGGAATTTAAGGAAAATTGTCTGAAAATGAATACAGGATTACAGGGTGGAAACGATAAGTGATCTCACTCGATTATTTCTTAACTATACAAGATATCGAAAATCCGGTTACTGATTCTGAAAGTGCTGCATGAGCTCTATCAAACGGTATCACTAATAGGTTACAAAATAAACTGGCTCTATCTGAAAATTCAATGTTTCCAGCTTCCTGAAGAAGCCTGGATTTTAGTGTTCGGGAAAGACACAAGCAAATCAAGTAATCAAATAGTTTATTCAGTATATAGGCCCTTTCCAAGGTGCTTATACGCGTCCCAAATATAGCTTGCTCCTACCACCACTTCGGGACAACATATGGGCTGGTGCTGAGAAGTGGCGGAAGAAACTATCAGTCACCTTTAGACAATGGCCATTGGAAATGGAATGGATGGAAAAGTTCTTGAGTGGCGAACTGGCGACCACGAAATAATATTACGTAACTATCCTAGAGAACTTAGAAATTCTGTCACAATAATAATTATTACCAAACTGATTGTAGAGCCCTTTTGAGACCCTAAAATGATTGTATTCAATCATTTTTTCAGTAGGTAAGGCGAAAGTTTAAAAACAATCACCTGGAAAGTCCTAATTTGATCAAAAACTAATAAATTAAATGATGTGAAACCTATTTAGATAGGTAAAAACGTCTTACCTAAACACGTATTCATGCGTACATTTGTGCAATTTCCTCGAAAAAGCGCCATAAAACCAATCTCTTCGGCAAATAAATACATTTATTTCTTATGGCCGACTCGACCGCCATTGACAGTTATCGCAAAACGCTAAATGAATTGTGAAGAAAGACGTAGTGTGGGCAGGCCTCCCACTAGGTGGACCGACGATCTGGTGAAGGTCGCTGAAAGAACCTGGATGTGGGCAGCGCAGGATCGGTTGTTATGGAAATCCTTGGGGGAGGCCTTTATCCAGCAGTGGACGTCATTTGGCTAAAACGAACGAACAGCAATTTACAACTTAGGTACATGATAGGAACGTAACTAAGTGCGAGCTAGGCAAGTAAAGTCCCAGCAGGCAGTGAATGCCAGTCCCAAGCTGTTGAAGCTCTTAGTGCGAGCTCTATGCTCTGATAAAGGACTTAACAAAAACTTTAGTTAGAAGTTTTTTTATGCAAAACAAGGCAGGTATTTGACCGCAATTGCTCCTGGTGTTAAGTGAGATGCAGTCTATAATATGAGATGAGTCTGTTTCTTTTTTCATTCCAGTGGACTACCCAGACTGAACGAAGCTCGGGTCATTAGTGGACAATTGCCCCCTCCGGTGGGGGTGGGGCAAATTGATTGCCCCTCCGATGATTCAGTGGCGGTCTTTTCAATAGAAAACGCCGCGTAAGTGGCTTGTGATATGATTTAAGACCTATCTCTTATGGAATGAGATATTTAGGATGGATTGCCACCAAAGCGGAGCGGAGAAGAGCGGAGCGATGCGGAGAAAGGAGGAGAGAGTTGTATAGAATCAAAAGCAGCTTCTGACTTTTCCATAATTAGCGGTTATTAAGAAAAATAGTTTCACTATTATAGACTAATTTTTCGTACTGGTTTTCGGTCGGATAATGCTATTTTTGTTACGATGTGAATAAATACCTAAGCATAAATAATTTCAACGTGAGTATGTTGTCATATCCAAAACTCAATTTGCACGAAATCGTCAGATTGCTGTTTTTGATTCTATACATCTCTGAGCCACGTGTCAAATTCTAAAGAAAAACAAGTGCGCCCGACATTTCTCCGCTCTATCCATTTCCACTGAAACGGAGCAGAGTGGAGATGTGCAAATAATGAAATCTGACTGGTTATTCAAAAAACTTATCTGTTCCGCTCCGCACCGCTCCGTCTTGGTGAATACCGGGCCTCAGGCCTATTACTATTTCTGTGCCAGTAGCCTTAGGCCAGTTCACCAAAGCGAGGAGAGGAGACGAGAGATGTCATAAATTCATTCATTTTCTGCAAATATACTTTTTAAAGCGCTTTTACCCTTGTGTGTTATCTCGTAAAATAAAGAAACGACCTCGTAAAGGTAGCAGGAAGGCGTTGGATGATTGGATGCAGGCCGCTATCAACCGGGCGATATGGATTTATCATTGGGGGAGCCCTATGTTCAGCAGCGGACGGCCTGTGGCTGAAATGATGATGATGACGGCTTGATGTTTCGTCACAAGCAGACTGGTGGCATGGCTGGCGGATGCCGTGTTTCTCTATTTTAGACGAGAGGATAAAATATGACTAAGCGGAAGGTAGCTAAAGGTACTTTGTCTTGGCAACATTAACTGTATTTCATTTCTATTCCTATTATTTTAATTTTGTAAACTTTCAGTTCAATATTCTTGTTAACTTAAGTTTATGGGTCCGGATTTGATAGAGTTATTTGATAAATACAATCTGAATTTTAAGCTGTTTATTTCGATTCTAGTCTAGCTTGGTTTTCGCGCGGATCGCATAAAGTCCTACCTACCTATCTAACGTCTAGGTAAAGGTTGACACTTATTGCAAACTAGCTTTTAGTCTACTTTACTTAGCTAGAACTTTCATATTATAACTACAAAGCTTTAAGCACATTAATTTATTTGCATATGACTTATAAAACAGTACTTATAAATCGTCAAATATTTAAACTTTTTTACATTTCTCATGCGCCCATTTTAGTGACCCGGGGTTTTTTTGGTAACACATAACAAGAATTTTGTTTTCCTAAGGGTCACTTAAAATCTTTTTACTCTACCATACCAGCGCTTCGAGACCAACATTTGGCAAGTGCTGAGAATAAGCACCTTTCTAATTGAAACCGTTTTTTTAAGTCGGTTAAAAGTGTTTAAAGACAGCCCTAAGTAGTCTAGACAGCCATCTTGTATTATCGTTTCAAATAGGTTCCTCACTGAATTGATTTGTGCTCGTAAATTGCTATACAATGCCTCATTAGCTTTTACAATTTGGCGTATTATAAATTAGGTATGAGGAAAATCGTTTTATAGTGCAACTGTGCTGGCAATACATAGTAGCAAGTTTAGATTAATAAAGAATAAAGCCTAGATGGATAGTCATCATACAAGCGCTTCGTATAAAGTGAAGCAAAAATCTTATGTCATTAGGTACTGTCAAAAAGTTATGAAACATGTAACAATTTTTTTGATTTGATTTTGAAAAAATGGCGATTTTTTTCGAAAATTTGAGAATTTACCGTTGTAAAATGTTATA